GGGGATGAGGTTGTGGAAGGAAGGCCCCACAGGCACGCGGGCAAAGGTGGAGTTTAGGGGATGAGGTTGTGGAAGGAAGGCCCCACAGGCACGCGTGACGCACTACAGCTCTCACAGCTCCCCCGACCACTCCCGAGCCCCACCTGGAACAGACAGCTGGCCCGGCCCAGGCATAAGGGCGGGGCACAGTGTCCCGGCATGCACCATGCCTGCTTGACCACCCCGGCAGGGGGGCCCAGCTAAGGGGACATGCAGACACGTGGCACATCAGGGACCCAAGCAGCAGAAGCATGCAGGGCAGGGGGCCTGCCCACCCACCCCTAGTCCTGCCGGCCTGCCGGCCCAAACAACGCAGAGCAGAGCCCGACCGGCGGGCAGGCCTGGCTGGAGCGAGCCCGAGGGAGCTGACTGAGCCCGCTGGTCCCTACTGACGGGAGCATCCCATCGACGGGCGAACTGTAGATGGATAAGAAGTGAAAAGGACCAACCTTCTCGCTGATCTGAGAGATGAGAGTTTGGGTTGATGGCAGAGTGCGATGAGGATGAGGAGGGAATAAAAAAAGACAAGGAGAAACACAGAGAGAGTAAAAACAGGCCAACCTTCATCTGCCCACACAGCACGGACATGAGACAAGACTCTTGTGCCCCACGCACACGCACGTGCACGCAGGTGCGCACGGACCACGCCACTCACGAAAGACTCAGGACTCATGGAGGACACGGTGGACAGGGCTGGGTCCCACTGGCAGGTGCCGGGATACCAAGGGCGGGACAGGGAGGGGTGGAAGGGGAGCACAGGCGGGCCCCCATGCCTCACGCACACCCCACGGCTCGACAGACCCAGTGAGCTGGGCTTTGGGGTCGGCCCCCGCACCCACCAGCCCACAAACCCACCAAGGCACACGGGCCACTAGATCCCCACCACCTTGAGGAAGCCCCACACTGCACTGCCCCAGCGTGAGGAGCTGGTCTGGGCACCTACGGGGAGAAAGGCTGTGGAGACACCGCCCCGTTTAGAGACAGCTGTGGCCAGCAGCCAGTTCCCTGCAGAGAAGGGGGACGGTTGGGGGCAGTTAGGGCACGGCCACGCCCTGGCCCCCGGCAGCTCCGCGTCCTGAAAGCTGGAGGAAAGAGATTGCTGTGGAGGGAAGGAGAGGGTGAGTCACTCAGAGAGGGAGACAGATGGTGACACAGGCCGGTCCACCCAGCCTGCCTGGGCCTGCTGGACTGCGGGTGCAGCTGCGGGCAACTGAGCCAAGGCAGATGTGAATGGAAGACGCATCCCCCAACAGCTATCCTGACAGCAACAGTGGTCACCGGCCACTAAGCGCTTCCCGTGTGCCCGCCACTGTGCTGGGCGCTTCCCACACACTGTCCCGTTACATGCGGCAGGTGCAGGGGCTCAGAGAGACAGTGGGGCCCTCAGAGTCCGGGGGACAGAGGAAGGATGTGAGAAACTGAAGACAAATCCAAGGAGGAGATGTGACCTTGAGCCCAGTGGACACAGCGGGAGAAGAAGGGGATGGAGGGAGATGAACACTGGCAGGAGGCTGTCCATCTAGAGCAGTGGTTCCCAATGTGGGGGGTGGGGAGGGAGCCCCCCAGGTGACACCGGTCAAGGTCTGGAGATGTCGTGGGTTCTCATGACTAGGGGTGCTGCTGGCATCTAGGGGGCCAGAGCCCCACATAACTGAGAGTCATCTGGCCCCAAGTGTCAATGTGCTGAGGCTGAGAAACCTGGGCTGGAGGCCACAGGGGCCCCGATGTTGAGGCTCCTGGCAGCTGGAGCCCAGTGGCCCGGAGGGGAACAGGTGCCTGCTCTGGAAGGGGGTCTCACAGCCGCTCTGTGGCGCTGGGGGATGTCTCCACGGGTGGCCCACTCACAAGCAGGCTTCAGGATAGAGCTGGTGGCCAGCTCGGGAGAGGCTGTCTCAGAGGAGCTGCGGCTGATGGGCCCTCAGTACCGCTGGGGACAGAACGCGCGGGTTTTGCCAGGCCTGAGATTAAAAGCTTTTGCCACACCAGAAGCAAAAGTCCTAGGAATTGGCTTTCTAGATGTCGCCAAGTCTCCTTAGTAGGGTGTGTCCTGGGGCTACAGGGCAAATTGCTCTTGACAAAACAGGGCAGGTACAGGTGCAGGTGGGGCCTGGCTACTGGGCGGGTCTCGGGCACAGAGATAGGACTGGCCCGTGGGCATCAGGAACACGTGTGTGAGAGAGGGAAAGGCAAGCAAAGCCACGCTGGGACAGCCTGCCTTAGGGTCCCTGGCAAGTGGGGCTAGAATTAAAGAAGCCCCCACACTCGCTGCCCAAAAGGCCTGTGGGTGTGGGTCGGAAAGGTGATTTAGGAAGGCTTGGTGGGAGTGGAGAATGGGCCATGTCGGGACCCTGCCTGAGCCCACCACGTGGGGCTGGAGGTAAGAGCTCCCTGGTCAGTGCCTGAGCTGTGGCGGCTAAGCTCAGCTCATCTCCAGAGAGACCCCCCGCCTCGCCTCAGGGCTGAGGCCAGTGTGAGGGTGACTTCAGAGAATACTACCCAGCCAAGATAATAATGCAGGGTCCATCACCTATGTCTGGACCTTCTCCTGCAGCTCTGGCCCAGGAAGTGTGCCCATTAGACCATGCCCATGCAGCTTGCTTGGGTTTCTCAGCGGCTCTGCTGGGCCGCTCCTCTCCCTGGTGCAGCCGCATACGGCAAAAGGCTTTCTTGGGACCTCCACTCTTTGGCCCTGTGATCTTTTGGAAGAAGTGTTCAGTCAGGACCGCATAATGGTCCGGGTGGAAGGAGGCAGGTCTTTGAGTAGGGCTGTTCCAGCGGCTCCTCCCTAGGAGGGGGACTCGTCAGAGCCCTGTGCGCCCATCAGAAGCTCTGCCTGGAGCAGTGTGGGGGAAGGCTGTGCACTTCACAGCTCCCCTCATCTCGGCCATCCGGGTGGCTCTCGGGCTCCCGGCCTCTCTGTTCTCATGCTGTTCCTTAAGACAGGCCCTGGGGCCACTGAGGCAAGCACTTGGTGGGCAGGACACCTGTCAAGGGGGCCAGTGGGGACCTCCCACCCCACACCCCCAACTCCAATGAAGTGTCATCCATGGTCTCTGAGACACAATCTGCCCGTCACCCGATGGGCTGGCAGCCTTGGCCTCTTGGGAACCTTTGCCCCGACATGGAGCAGCTCCTCAGTAACTACATGGTTGATGGCTTAATTCTCTCTGCCTTGTCTGACCATGTGGCTGGCCCTAAAGAGTGGGACAGGCCGCTGACACTGCCTGGGCAGACAGGCAGACGACCCCCTGGAGAAGCTACACTCAGCACTTAGCGTGATGAAGTCATCGCTGCAAGGAAGCCGTGTCCACTTTCCTTTTCAAATCCCCCGAGTGGAGATAGTTTCACTTGTAATGATGCCCGTCTGTGCAGGAGGGCTAAGTGAGGGGGTGTGGGGGTAGGAGGGGCTCCTAGGGCCCCTCCCGGGCACTGTGCATGTTCTCAGGAAGGAGCGGGTGGCCAGCTTTGGTCACCCCTGGGCTGTGAGCCTAGCAGACACTGGACACTCCAAATCAGTCCCCAGGCCCTCTCTGCTGGGTCCCTGGACTTGTGAAGATGCACGGTCCACCAAGTCTCAGCAAGGAACACCTGAAACACAGTAGGTAAGCTCACCTACAGGGGCTCACAGCTGCCTCAGACTGACCTTCTCTACAAGGGTCCTGACTGGTGACAAAGCACAGCTAGCTCCTCCTCCAGGAAGGCCCTGGGCAGACCTGGCCAGAGGGCAGGCTCACCTGGCCTGGAGCCTTCCCTGCTGGGGCGGGCAGGACAGACTCGAGGACTACCAGGGACGTATGCCCGCGTTTACACACAAATGAGTGTGCCTGCTTATGCGCACGCATCCCCGCACACACACACGCACACAGTGAAAAGTCTGCTTGGAAGGCTCTAGACTCCCGTGGGGCTCTGGGCACACGTGGCAGGACCTACAAGAGATACAAATGCTCCCAAGAGTGGCTGCGTCCCAAAGGGCCTGCAGGGAAGGAAGGCAAAGTGGCGGCGGACACCGGGAGTCTGCCCAGTGGGAGCTGCTGCGGTTGTTCTTGCTGCGGCAGAAAGAGGCAGGGAAAGGAGAACCTGGGCCGAGGGCAGCCCCCACTGCCCACACCAAGGGCTCCAGACAGCGTGCCCAGCAGGGCCAGTTCAGCTCCGTGGAGACAGGGCTAGGCACTGCCCACATCCTTACCTCGCACATACAGGTTGGCGGGGGCCGAGTAGCGAGTGCCTGCAGAGTTGGTCGCCACACACTCGTACTTGCCTTGGTCCGACTCCTCGCTGCTCTCAATCTGTAAGGCACCTGCAGGGACATAGCGACAGTCAGGCCTGGATCATGGGGAGGAGTCTTGATGGCATTTGGGTTTGTGTTGACCAGATGTTGAAGATACCGGGGCCACACCTGGGCACCAGTGTTGCCTCCAGGAAGCTCTCCCTGATGAGCCCCCTGGCCTCGTGGCTGGAAGCAAGCGTTGTACTCTGCAGCACAATCCCGCTTGTCTTAACCCTGCAGCCTAGCAGAGCTTGCCGGCTGGGCCGCGGGCTCCATCCCATCCCCCAGCTCCATGGAGTGCCCAGTCCTGGACTCCAATCCTGGAGCCCATTTGCCAGTGAGCATGCCCATGAGTGCTCCCAGACCTACCAGCCCTGCCAGGCCACGTGGAGCCAGGCGTGGGTGGGAGCAGCCTGGATCCCTGCTGGCCTGGGAGTTAGCTGCAAGCATGCAGTGGCCCTCATCGGGCAAGCGCCTGGGAGTCTGCCGCCCACCAGAACTCCACAGGAAGGAAGGGGTTTGCTCTGGGGGCCTGGTGCCCGGCAGCCTCTGCTCACAGCACCCATCCTCTCCTCCCACCCGGCCCCCACCCCGCCGGCCCCACCCATTCCGGCTCCTCTCCTCAGCCTGGTCCCGCTAAAGTGCTTCGACCCACCGCGGCTGCTGCATAATTCAGGAGGCTAATGGAGGCTGTAGCTCCCACTCGGGCCAGTGCCTGGAGGGGCTGCTCCGGCCGCAGACGGACAGACAGGAGCCAGGACTGGGGGGGAGGCAGCTGAAAAGGACCCTCACAGAGGGCCAGTTCTGGCAGGTCCAGGTAGGGGAGTCCAAGGCAGTAGGAGGTGGGGGGTGAAACCACTCAACGTGGCCACCCCTCAGCTCTGGCAATAAACACTTGAAAACACCGTTCTTGAGAGCACCCCAGGCAAGCCGTCTGTGACAGTAACACCCCGAGCCACAGGCAACACCCCCTCCCTGGAACAAGCCGACAGACAATCAAACCCACACAGGACAGTCCAATGGACACTTAATAACCCCACAGCACACAGCCTGACAGAAAACCGCCACCTGCACAGAACAGCCCCTTCCCAGGCCTCAGGCTGGCTGACGGTCACCACACCCACAAAAGACATAGACAGAACCTGCCGAACCCCACCTGAGCGGCCTGGATAAGAGCCACAGGAGGACTTCCAGGTCACACTCTCATGGCCCAGGCCCCAGGGGAGGACCACCATGGGTCCCAGCTGCAGCCCCTTCACTGCCTGACACCCCTCTTCCATACCCAGACCCAGGGCAGCAGGAGGGGCCCTGAACACGCTGGGGGCTGGGGGCTGGAGGTGGGAGAAGCACCTGCCAAGGCTTAACCCCGATGCAGGACAAAGGCCTGGCCTGCTCCATGGTCCTGCCTTCAGCCCTTCCCACTGGACATCAGGGAGCAATGCCAAATACCCATCTCCTGCAAGAACAGCCCTGATGGGCACCCAACAGGTCATGTGTATGGGATGGATGGATGCTGTTACAGAAAATATTCCTTCAAGCAGGCGGGGTGAGGCTCCCGGCTGGGGGCGGGGGGTGCTGCACTAGGTCAGCTCAGCTGGGGAGGGAGGGGAGACCTGGTGGCTGGTGCCAAAGGCAGGGACAAGAAGTAGTGGCTGGGTGAGACCCCTGCCGGGGGAGGAGGTTCCCTTGTACGGAGAGCTAGACCTGGTCAGGGACCCAACACAGCCCCTGAACCTGGATGCACACAGAAACCCCATCTGGAACCAACACCAAGACCCAGTGGCAGGGGCATCAAGAGCTAGTGCAGGCAGACAGGATGGAGGGGGGGGGGTCTGGAGGGCGAGTCTTGGCCTCGGAAGGTAGCGGACCAGATGCTCCACAGGGAAGCAGTGGCTTCTCTCAGCCCTGGCTTCTGACCTGAGACCACCCTGGTCCTGGACCGAGGATCTAGATGTGCCCAAGGACGCTGAGGGAGGTGTGAAGAAATGATGTGAATACAATCAGTCCAGAAGCAACCATTTTCCAGTGGGCCTGCTCCAAGCCAGACACGGCCCAGACCCCCGTCCCTTCCTCTAAACCTCATGAGTCGTGAGGTGGGCCCTGGCCCCGATTCAGAGCAGGAAGCAGACTTCTGCGAGGTGGATCGCCTCTCTGAAGGCCACCCAGGTGAGTCAAACTTGCACCCGGATCTTTGAGTCCAGAATGTGATTTCTGAAGCCCAAGCCAGGCCACAGGGCTCTGGGGCACGAAAGCAGCCAGGCTCGGCAGGTCCCCATGTCACTGCAGCACCTAAAGTCTTCCCTGGGTGCTCTTCCTCACATGTGCTGGGCTACGGGGATTTACAGGATGGTCCTCACCCTGCTCTAGGGCCAGGATGTTAAGGGAAGTCAAGCAATCACTGAGGGACCCAAGAAAAAAGGAGCTGCTTAGGAGGAAAGGCGAGGCCTGGTCATGCTGCCCCACCTCCTGGGAAGACTCTCCATCTGTGGCCAGGCTTGGGGCTCAGCACTCGGCTTCCCTGTGGGAGCTGACAGGCTCCCTTCTGTGGGATTGGCCTGGAAGGCCCGGGACGTAGGGCTTGCCATCCCCACGGCAGGGCTCAGCTGAGTATTTCTACAGTCCAGACTTGCAATGGATGAGTCCACAGGAGGGAATGACCGAGAGTGAAGGTGTGTGGTGGCCGGTGGTGCTGAGGGGACCGGAGCTGGAGATGAGGAGGCTGGAGAGGTCAGGATGGGGATGGGGGAGGTGACGGACTGGACGGGATGGAGTGGTGGTGACGGCAGTGGCGAGGCGTGGCGAGATGCACGGACAGCATTCTTACCTCTGATTGGTGAACCACCTGGCGAGGTAATTTGAATGCAAATAAGATCAGAGAGAAGCATTAGTACAAAAGGAAGGAAAGCCACAAAAAGCCAAATCAGATAAAATAAAACATGAGAAAGGGCCTTAAATACACGGAGAAATCAAGGCCTGAGTTAGGCCGACGCAGGTGATAAGTGCACAAGGGCCAGGCTGAGCCAGGCCGAGCGTGGGTGAAGCGGGGTCCCCCAGGTCAAAGGCACTGTTCTGAGGCGGGCAGGGGTGGGGATTGGGGCTGGGGTCATGGGGCCGGAGGTGATGGGAATCAGGAAGGTAGAGTCGGGGCTCCTGCAGACCCAGCTGGCTGAAGCCAATGAGGAGAAAGTCAATATAAGAGGGAGCAACCCCACTCCTTAGGGGCACCCAAATGTCCCAGGTGGGCAAGATTTCAAAACAAAGCACTTACCAAAACCAACCAAGGAGGTTAAGCACACAGAAAGGGCTAAAGGGAGGGCTTGCCGTAGGCCACCACCAGGCCAGGTCTCCCTCATGCAGACACACCAGCCCAGCCCTGCCGTGGGACTTGGGGTGAGCTTACAACCCAGTGGCGGATGCCCTGTAGAGCCCACTCAACCCAGATAAAAAGTGAATGACCTTTGAGCTTCCCCACAACCAGACTGGCGAGAGCCAGAAGCCAAGGCCTCCCCCTTGCCTGTTCAGTGCTTCAAGCCCAGAGGGCCAGATGCATACTCTCCAAATGCCCCATGCAGGGCTGCTATGAGGTCCGAACAGCGGCCTCCTCTGAGGCTGTGCTCAAGCCCCATCTACTACAGCCTCATCCAGAAAAGTGAGGAGCCCATGGGTGGGCCTGGGCCCAATGCTGTCCACCCTGCCCCTCTCCCCACTCTGCCCATTGCTGGAGAGGGAAGTGTGCCAAGGGACAAACACTGATCACTCTCTCACTGAACTTGATGACACCTGCCTAGGAGGAAGTACCCATGTCCACATAGGAATGATGAAACAAGCTGAGGAATAGTAAGTGGCTTCCCCAAACCCAAGGTCACGTGGCCTATAAGTGCCGTGGCAGGAACTAACCAGGCCTGCTGCACAGGCTTCCCACCGGATTAGGCTGCCTCCTGCAGACACAGAGGCTGGAGGGGGGGGGGGGGGGGCAAAGGCAGGTGCTGGGAGCCGGGCTGGGTGTGGAGGGGCTGCAGAGAGTCTGGGAAGAACCATCATCACAGTGATTCCCCAGGCATGGTCCCGGGACTGTGAGTGTCCCCGAGACCCTTTCAGAAGGTCCACAAGGTCAAAACTATTTTCATGACACTAAGAAGTTATTTGCCTTTTCCACTCTTGCTCTCTCATGAATATACAGTGGAGTTTTCCAGGAGCTCCGTGAAGTGTGATATTGCAATAGACCAAATGCAGAAGCAGACAAGAGAATCCAGCAGTCTTCTATCAAGCCCCCAATTAAAGAGATTTGTGAAAATGTAAAACAATGCCACTCTTCTCACGAAATGTTTTTGTTTTAGAATACAATTATTTTTCATTAAAAAAAACTTATTTAACATGTAATAGGTTTTTAAATTATTTTAACATTTAAATATTTAAAACCTTTTCTTAACACCTAATATAGTAAATTTTGATGGATAAAACCTACACAAACAAAAGCTCTCTGAGGTCCTCTAATATTTACAATCAGAGGTCCTGGAACCAAAAAGTCAACAACCGCTGATCTACTTCTACAGGGTAGGCCCGGCCTGGGAGGGGGTGGCAGTGTAAACGGTCCAGGCTTCTGGCCTCTGCTCTCCCAGAACCTAACCTGCTGTGTGACAAGTCTCTGGACCTCTCAGAAGAGTCATTTCTCCACCAAACTGAAAGAAGAATTTGCCTTACCATTTTACAGGGTGGGCGTGGGAGACTGGACGGCCCCAGGAGTCAGCGCTTCTCCTGAGAGGTGTCAGTGTGCTCAGGCCAAAGGAAAATAAATCATGACCCTGCACCGCCAGTGTGCCCTCCTGCAGACCCAGTGGAGGGGTGGGGCGAGTGGGGGGACAGGCTCTGCCGGTCAGAGCTGGGCCAGCCAGCAGGGTAGGGGACAGCAGCCCTCAGGCCCACCCTGGAGTCTGCTCTGCGCCTGGCTCTGGGTCCCATCTGCCAGGGCCAGTGGGCCCTCTCCTGCAGCCAGATGCTGGCATCTCTGCTCAGGCCCTGTAGTCTCAGCTCAGGTGTCAGAGGATGTGCAAGGAGACTGTGCTCCGGGTGAGCACGTGGATGTGGTGGATCAGGTTGTCCTCAACGGTGATGGGATGGCGGCGTGCACATTCAGGCCAAGGGGACGAGCGGAGCAAGGGAGGTCTCCTCGGCGCCCTGTCCAGGCTTGGCAGAGCGTGTGGGCCACCAGCTCCTTTTAGGACCCGGAAGTGGCTCTGAGCCCCACTTGGAGATCAGCCTCTGCTTGCTGCCCCAGTGACACCGTCTGCTCCTGACTTGATTTCCACTCTCCCTGAGTTTGTCTCCGTTCCTCCTACACCCACCCTGGGCTTCAAGTTCAAATTCCCAGGAGGCCCTTGTGGCAGCACGTCATGTCGCTTTAGTGAGGAAAACGCCTGTGGAGCAGAGCTCAGGCCTGGGCGGCGCCCGCACTAGCAGCCCCCCCACCCCAGCTCCTGTTCCGGGTGCCATGCCCCGTGCCACGGGCTGCAGCTCAGCCTGCAGGTGCCTCACAGGTTCTGGGGACGGCTCAGGGAGGGTGTGAGATCTGGAGAGGACGGGACTGCGGAATCTGCAGTGCTCACAGGGTCCAACCATTCCCCAGGCCCCAGGTTCGGCATTTGTGACGCCAGAAGGCCTCCGGTGACTGCACAGGGGAGCTCCCTGGCCCTGGATCTCCACGTGTGACCCCAGGGGACTCCCTTAATTCAGCTGTAAAGTGGGCATGATAATCACAGCCTGTCCTACTTCTCAGGGCTGCAGGAGAATTGAGTGCAACAAAAGGCAGGGAAATACTTTGTGATCCGTCGGCGATGCGTAAACTGTGAAGGTCCCTGTAACCAGCCGAGTACTTGGAGGCCTGATTCCCCTCCACGAAGGGAAGTCCCTGTCAAATGTGCGGGGACTGGCCCCAGCACCCTTTTACATGGTAATAGACAGGGCCAGCAGCTCCTGGAGTCAAGGGCCTGGTGCCAGGGCCAGGCAGGAACGGTGTGGGGAGACAGTCCTGTCTGTTACTACAGAGGCAGGATGATTAAGTCCCCTCAGGTGCCATCCCAGGAACTGGACCCTGGGTCCACAACCCTCAGGTTACAGCTTCCACGTGGCAGCAAAGGTCAAGCAAGGTCTTCCTTGGACCTAAGAAGCAGGGGGAATGGACATTTGTCTGCAGGGACAGGGCCTGAAGGTCTCGTTCACGAGATACCTGTGCTATAGCTGGGCTTGTGCTGGGAGCTGAGGGAAACCTTGCAGAGGGGAGCCAGACCCATGCCCTCCCTGCAAGGAGTGCCAAGCCTAAGTGAGCAGAGCTGGAGCCAGGCAGTAACAACACAGAGTGGGGTGTGTCTTGAAGGAGTAGGCCTTACTTAGGCACAGAAGGGAGAGGCTTCCTGATTTGGTGAATTAGAGCAGACGGCAAGGATGGGGTCAGGGTGGCTCCGTGCAAGTGAGGGGAGGCCAGAGCCCTCCCCCATATGCCAGGCAGCGAACTAAAGCTTCGACTGCTGTGGTCTCGCTTAATCCTTTTTAAAGGTGAGAGAACAGAAGCTCAAAGAAGTTAAAGAACTTCATGAGGCCACAGAGCTAGTAAGTGGTGTAGCTGAGACCTGAGGAGGTAAAGCTGGAGACCTGAGCTGGGAAGATCAGGAGGGTTCTGTGCGCCTCCTTCAGGAGCAGGTGCCTGGCCACGTGGGCAGCTGGATTCCTGGGGAGAGCCTGGAGGCGGGGAGCGCAGGGCTTGGGGACTGGGATACAGCCAAGGCAGTGGAAGGACCAAGGGGGTCCAGCGTGAGAGCCGTGTGGGTGACAAAAGGACGTGATGCCTCCTTATTGGAGCAGGAGTCAGGGTGTGTCCCCGAGAGGTGGTCAGCGGGAGAAGGCCACGGCTGTTTGGGAAGGAAGTCACCACTCCCGGCAGGTCAGGGTGACACTCAGAAGGCTGCTAGATTTTTTTAGTCTAAAGCTCGGGCAAGCTGTGGGGTGTTGGGAGACAGAGCGAGGTGTGCGGGTATGGAGAGGGTACCTGAAGCTACAGGAGGGGGTGAGCTGGCCTGGGGGAAGGCCCGGTCCATGGAGCAAGTGCCGGGGACGGGGGCTCCCTGGCTGGCCGAAGGAGCGGAGGATGAGGAGGCCTCAGGGAAGATAGGCGTGAGGGGAAAGCCAGGGAGAAGCAGCCGGCGGAGTAACGGGCAGTGAACGGGTGGCACGGGGCCTGGCACACCGGAAGCACCGCATAAATACTTGATGAACGAGCGCGCGAGACAGTGAGCCTTCCCAGAACTGCTGCCACGGACAGCCGGGGCTGTGCTGGGGCAGAGGCCAGGCCTGCGGGGAGGACCATCTGGCTGTTCGGGGAGCTTGCCTGGAGGGACTGTGGGGAAATGCAGAGGAGCCGAACCAGGCCGGCCGCTGGGCAGTGCTGGGCAGTGGCTGCAAATGCCACCGGACCATTTCCTGCCTTGATTATGGCTGTTTTAATTGACTGCCTTACAGCTGCCTCCATCTTGTTGAGTTTTAATTAAATTAAATGAGCTCACACTTTGTAGGCTGTCTCAGGTGGCCATGGCTCGGGCCTGAATCCTGCCCCTGCTGGGCAGCTCATCTCTCCCTCCCCCCACACCGGGCGCTGCTGGGGCATCTCCCTGGTGGGAGGCAGTGGGGAGGGGCTGGCAACCCAGGGAGTGGCAGGGGCACCTCTAGGCCTGTAGGACCCCAAAAGGGGCAGAGTCACGTCCTCCTTTGCAGTGCTGACCTCACAGCTGACAGGCAGCAGGGGCTCTGGCTGGTTCTGGCCATCTTGCCTGAGCCCACCACCCCGCAGCTAGCAGCAGAGTTTCTGGACCAAGGTCCCTCGGTCCAGGCTTTGCCGGAGGCAAATGCAGAATGCAGCTAAGCTGATGCTGAGCTGATTCTGAGCCTCCTTTCCCGCCTGCACCGTTCCCACAAAAACTGAATCAATTATCCTGGCGGGAGCCTCGGAGGCACATCGATCAATGGGGCGACACCTCTTGCCTGGTCATGACGGCATCCTTGCCGCCAGGGCTCCGAGCTGGCTCGACGGAGATATCCAGAGGAGACAGGTAGCCCTGGTGGCCGAGGGATGGCAGCAAGTCCTCCTGGCTCTAAGCTCCTGAGGTTCAGCCTTTTGAAGCCTGATGAATCAGGCATCTTTGGCCTCTTTTCCTGGCTAAGCCCTGCTGTCTGCAGAAGTAACGAGGAGCATCATGTAGGCCAGACTCCAGGCAAGATGGAGGAGGAACACCCACAGAGCACCTCTGCAGAGCCCAACGCCACGCCGGGCACACTACTCATGCTGCAAGGAGCCGGGCTGGACCGAAGTCTAGATTCTGTTGATCCCAGGAAGGGAAAAGCATCACTGACAACGAGCTCTTGCTGTCAAGCTCTCTTCCCTGGGCCGGGGGGGCCTGTACCAAGATCTGACCTGCCCACTGGACGCCCTCTGCTCAGCCCGGAGGGTCGGCGCCAGGCCGAGGCCTCCTGTGGCTCCCAGGCCCGAGAGGGAAGGCTGTGCTGGGTGCCAGGTGGACACCTTTCCTGAAGTCTGTGCGGCCCCTTGACCCTCGCCCTCTGCTCACCTGAACGGAGCTGCTTAATGCGACCATTGCTCGTGGCAGGGTCCACAGGGAGGAAGTCCTTGAACCAAGAGATCTCGGGGTCTGGATTCCCGCCTGCGGCGCACAGCATGGTGGCTGTGCGTGCTTTCTCCACCACCTTCAGCTGAGGCCCCATGTCGATGGAGGGGAACCCAGGGGGTAGCAGTTCCTCTGCAGATGAAAAACAGAAGTGAAAGTTAGGGCCAGCACTGCCTGCCCGCTAGAACCCTCCGCCAGGGGCAGTGGCTCCTGACTCCCTGGTTGGCTGGGACCCTCAAGGCCCCTTGTCCCCCAATTTCTGACTTCTGCTCCATGTGGGGAACCAGACTCCTGAGTCCCACTACCCAGGCCTGCCCTTTGCAGGGCCGCAGGGGGAGGGAGACAGTCGGCAGTGGAGCATCCCCTGCCCTGTCAGGGAGTTCCCAGGTCTGAGAAACAATGCCTCAGACTGGAGACGTCAGCACTTATCTCTCCGGGCCCTGGGAAAAACAAGGATTGATGCTCTGCTGGCCACAGCAGAAAGTGCTACACAGATGCTGCGCTGTGGGGCAGCCCACGGCTCATATGGCAGCACCCAGGGCCACAACTGAGACCAAAGGCCCCCTGTGCTGTCTAGTCCCCATTCCCTTTTCTGCACATGCAGTGTCCCCTCCACTGTTTGCATTTGGCCCTTAGCTCCACAGCACAGCAGAACCCCACATCACAGCCTGGATTCTGGACCTGACTCTGGGTACCCCCTGCCCTACCAGTGACCACACCCCCACAACCCCTGGTCCTGACCCTGACCCATTCTCTACTCCAGTCTTGACCCTGACCCTCTTCCCTCACTCACTGGGGGCCACGGTCAGGCCTGGGGACCATGCTGGAGCATGAAAAAGCTCTATGATGACACCAAAATTTGATGAAGGGAGACAAAACTCCCTGGCTGCCCTTTACCACCTTGCTGGGGGCTGGCAGTCACGCAAGAGTCAGTTCCATGGGAGCAACAGACATCAGCACACGCCCACTCCCACTGCACAGAGACTCCGGCACAGAGCCCGAGGCTGGGGGAGCGAGGCTGGCCGCTCTGCACCCACGGAAGCACGAGGGTCTGGGAGCACAGGCTCTGGACTAGTGCAGGCGAGTGGGGCTTCTACCTTCACCACTAACTAGCTCTGTGACCTGTGCGTGCATTACTCATCCTCTCCATGCCTCCATTTACTGTAAACTGGGTTCCAGTGCCCACCTCGTAAAGCCATCGCGAGGACCACATCTAATGATGCACATGTGCTGGAGAGTGTGACAGAGAATCCGCACAAATGAATATTAGGTGACATTACCATTATAATGAGCACTGGCTGAGCCACCAGGGCAGTCCGGTACCCGAGACTAGGGCCTGGGGCTGGTGGGGTCTGCCCACCAGGAGCAAACCACAGAGCGTGTTTGGGAACTCGGCAGAGCCTCTCCGTCAGTGTGGATGCTAGACACGCCCAGTGGAGGATGGGGAACACCGTCAGTCTTGCAGTGGGGGAGCAAGGCTCCGCGGTGGCAGAGACCAGGAGACAGCATCACCTGGATCTTCCTCCCTTGGGCCCAGCATAAGATGGGCATGTGGGGACACTAGCTGAGGTTGGACTCCTGCACCAGGGAAAAGGCACACGGCACCCTCAGAGGTGATTCTAGAAAGTAAAGGCCGGCAGGGCTGATCCTCCCTATAGACTCTCAGAGACCTGGGGGGGACTGACTGGGGAGCCAGGCAGGAGAGGAAGCCAGAGGAGCCCCAACAGGCAGGGGCAAAACATCCCTCTACCTGCTGCCAGATCCCGGGGGGGGCTCTGCCAAGGCTCTAGCTGCCGGGGGCATCCCAAAGGGACCGTGGCCCCACGAGGAGACGGGGTCTTGGGCTGGAGAGCGGTAGGACTCTGAGCACGGCCTTGCCTCCCCAGCCTCTCCCAGCAGCTGGCAGTACGCTTACTTCTCCACCGGCAGCCTTATAAATCCCAGATGTGAACCCAGCATCTCCTTGGCTGTAAATATGGTCCCAGTGTCCTGCCTTCCAGCTCTGATTTTTATTTATTTTTAAAAAGATTTTATTTATTGGGCGCCTGGGTGGCTCAGTTGGTTAAGCGACTGCCTTCGGCTCAGGTCATGATCCTGGAGTCCCTGGAT